GACGTCTGGTAGTTAACTCCAGGCCACGCTGGTTTGGAGTTAAGACCGGACAACGGCCAACTAATGTAAGCTAGTTATGGAGCCTTTAAGTTTTGTATATAATATGTTAGAAGAAGCCGAGAATAAAAGTATTTTAAGATGTTAAACTAGTCTTGTCATCCAGAACTTGATTAAAGAACTAATACTGTCACATAGGGTCCACAAGCTAAAAGCGTTATTTTTCGTACAATCAGGTGCCATAATTCAGGAAGTTACGGTCTGATATGCGCGAATATCGAAATTAAAGGAACCGAGATGTTTGGGTTATAAACTTACATTTCAAGTTTCAACAAAATCGGATAAAAATTGTGACCTCTATAGGGTCCACAACCTTGATATACCATATTCTTACGCTATTTGAGAACGAACGGCGGCCATTTTGTCTGTCAATTTTGGGCCGATTTTCACGGAATTTGGACTCAGTCGTCCTAAAGGTGTAACGGTGATATAATAGTACGGTTATTGAAATCGGATAAAAATTATGACCTCTATAGGGTCCACAAGCTAAAAACGTGATTTTCGTACAATCAGGGGCCATAATTTGGGTTATAAACCTATATTTCAAGTTTCAACAAAATCGGATAAAAATTGTGACCTCTATAGGGTCCACAAGCTAAAAACGTGATTTTTCGTACAAACAGGGGCCATAATCCATGAAGTTTCGATCCGATACATGCAAATATCGAAAGCAGCCGAGATCTTTTTGAGATAAACCTATATTTCAAGTTTCGTCAAAATCGGAGAAGAATTGTGACCTGTAGAGTGTCCACAAACAAATTGTGGACGGACGGACTGGGGCGACGGCATAATACGTCCACATGAAAATGTGGGCGTATAAAAAACGGAGAAGAATGGGCTAAGTAGGCGTAAACGATTGTTGTTGTCCCCCGCCTTTCGAAGAAAGCAGGGGACTATTAAAATGGGTTCGTCCGTCTGTCTGTCCGTCACACTTTTTGGGACACAATAACTCTCTTCCTAATTGAGCTAGAATGTTCAAACTTGGTGTATGTGTTTATTAGGTCAATGCCTTGATGGAGTTCGAAGATGAGCATTTTCCGCTTAGGGTAAGCAGAGATAAGCAATTTGATTGGTTGATGCTTTGGGACACGATAACTCTCTTCCTAATTGAGCTAGAATGTTCAAACTTGGTGTATGTGTTTATTAGGTCAATGCCTTGATGGCGTTCGAAGATGAGCATTTTCCGCTTAGGGTAAGCAGAGATAAGCAATTTGATTGGTTGATACTTTGGGGCACGATAACTCTCTTCCTAATTGAGCTAGAATGTTCAAACTTGGTGTATGTGTTGATTAGGTCACTGCCTTGATGGAGTTCGAAGATGAGCATTTTCCGCTTAGGGTAAGCAGAGATAAGCAATTTGATTGGTTGATGCTTTGGGACACGATAACTTTAGTTCTAATTAAGTGAGATTGATGAAACTTGGTGTATAGTTTCATTACAGTAATACCTTGACTAAGTTTGATAATGAGCATTTTCTGCTCAGGGTAAGCAGAGCGATACGCAATTTGATTGGTCGAGACTTTGGAAAACAATAACTCTCCTACTTTGATTGTCCCCCGCCTTTCGAAGAAAGCAGGGAACTATTAAAATGGGTTCGTCCGTCTGTCTGTTTTTCCGCTTAGGGTAAGCAGAGATAAACAATTTGATTGGTTGATGCTTTGGGACACTATAACTTTAGTTCTAATTAAGTAGATAAACAATTTGATTGGTTGATGCTTTGGGACACTATAACTTTAGTTCTAATTAAGTGAGAGTGATGAAACTTGGTGTATAGTTTCATTACAGTAATACCTTGACTAAGATCGATAATGAGCATTTTCTGCTCAGATTAAGCAGAGCGATAAGCAATTTGATTTGCTGAGACTTTGGAACACAATAACTCTCCTTCGAATTGAGTTAAAATGTTCAAAATTGGTGTGTATGCTTATTGTCCCCCGCCTTTCGAAGAAAGCAGGGGACTATTAAAATGGGTTCGTCGGTCGTCTGTTTGTCTGTCTGTCCGTCACACTCCTTCGAATTGAGTTAAAATGTTCAAAATTGGTGTGTATGCTTATTGTCCCCCGCCTTTCGAAGAAAGCAGGGGACTATTAAAATGGGTTCGTCCGTCTGTCTGTTTGTCTGTCTGTCTGTCCGTCACACTTTTTGGGACACAATAACTCTCCTCCCAATTGAGGTAGAAGGTTCAAACTTGGTGTAGGCCTTTATTAGGTCAATGCCTAGATGGAGTTCGAAGATGAACCTTTTCTGCGCAGGCTAAGCCGACATAAGTCATTTGATTAAATATGTAGTATGCAATAATGAATTGACATTTAATGACAGAAAGAAAACAGTGAACTTTGCACAACTTGCAGCAAGATGGAAAATAGACCCGTTGATACAACCAAACTCTAGATCTGTAGGCATAGAGCATGTTTCCCCCTTAATATGCTATAATTATTCCATCAAAAACATTGTATGCTTAGACTATAAGTAAAGATATACTGTTTGATTGTTCAATACTTTGTAAAAGATAATTTGTGATAAATTTATATGTGTCCTCTAATTATTTTCCTATTTCGGCGGGGGACATCAGCCTCACTGTTGGCTTGTTCAGTTTGGACTATTCGCATTTTACACCGACACGATAACGAACGGTATACCAATTCGCACATTCATTGAAAGGGCATTAATGCCATCTGTACAAAAATGAAAACATATTATATGAAATATATAGCATCCATAATGTATGTGGTGTGTTAACTGACCATCGAATGGACACTTATAAAAAACGTGTGTGTCATGTGTAGGACACTATTTGCACGTGTGTAATATACACAGGTGTGAGTATAAATTTGCACTACTAACTAATTTGATATAAAATTCATCCTACTGCAAATTTGCACACGTATGCAATTCTGGGCGCATGCCATGATTTGCACGTGTGTTTATTTAGCACACCAGTGTGAACAGGGTATGTAAAACATAAACATGCCACCGAGTGGTATATACGTCAATATAAAACAGAACGGCAAATATTTAAATAGGTCATATTCTTTTTTTTTCTAACACTATTTATTCAGTAAATATTTACATAATATCAATTATAAGCCGGAGCTTATATAGATTCACCCCCAGGTCACATTCATTTTATACAATAAAGCCCATACTATATAGTGTAAAATGTCAACAGGTATGCACATATTAATCGCATCTTTGTAAAGACCCATATTGTTTAGAGAGAGAAATGGGATTTAACGTCCAGTCGACACAAACTAGGTCATTTCGGGACTAACATATGGTTTAATTTTATTTTAATAATTCGCTTGTGCGTAGGGGTCTTTAGCAGTGGGAGGAACTCGGATTACCCGGAGAAAATCCACGAGGTTGGACAGGTCCATGTTTAGAGATCTTCCCATGTACCATCGTACTATGGACGAGAAACTGACTATGACATATTTGGAAATTTGTTTTTCGAGATGTTTTTCGTTGCATGTTTCTGATGAAATTTAAATGTAATTTAAAAGAACTTTTATCATTATATTAAAATATAATTAAATTAAAGAAAGTTAGAATTTACAAATATTGATTTTAAGATATAAAATGTTAAGTTTAGTATAGAAATGTCTGAATACGATAAATGAAGAACTGACAAGATGACTAGTCATCACCAATCCGCGCCCTTGTAAGGAAAAACAACTTCTTGGAATATCATCAATGGGACCTATAGTCAGAAGATTCATACTCTGATCACAGTAGCTCGGCAATGCAGGGTCGCTACTCTCTGTAATGTTTGCACAATAACCTTTGCCTATCTCAATCACCTGTTGTATGTTAAACAATAAGCTTAAAATAAAATAAATCCTATAATAGGTTGGTGTTTGTACAACGTTTCAAAAGGACTTCTTGAACGGATAATGAAATATGCTCCGGAATCGAAATCGGGACGGCCATCAGAAAATAAAATAATAGGTTGATGAATGTAAAAGTGTTATAAAGGTATCTTGAAAGTCCATCAGAAAATAAAATAATAGGTTGATGAACGTAAAAGTGTTATAAAGGTATCTTGAACGTCCATCAGAAAATAAAATAATAGGTTGATGAACGTAAAAGTGTTATAAAGGTATCTTGAACTCTTTCTGAGATATGCTCTAGAATAATAATTATATACCAAAACCAAGTCAAATGTGACAAGCCGATGTTTTAGTTTATAGAGATAACAATCGGTTAAATAGGAAACAAAACAAACCAGAGCCACCTATAATCTAGGCCTGTTATTATCCTGTCAAGTACAGGAGATTATTTACCTTTGTTATCAGGGCAGGGGGTACATTGCACCCAAGAACTGGCGCCCCCAAAACAAATTTTACTACCTTTCAATTATAAAATTATACTCTTGATTATGATCAAACAGTGATGCTCTTAAGGCACTGATAAGTACTAGGTGTACGAAAGTGCATTAATTAGCGCCCTGATGAGTCGGTCCGTTTTAGGGGCGCCCACATGCCTATGGGTACCTGGTTCGTTTGCCCTGATCCAAACTGTCTTATATCACTTATGTGGAGGCTATGGATCCAAGGAGGGACGGGGGGCACCAGGAGCAAATTGCGGCTCCACGTGCGTGGAAAACGCGTTTGCGCTCCGTAACTTAAGCATTATATCGGCGGCCCACCACTCTGCTGCACCCCCACTTTTAAAATCGTACATACGGCCCTGTTTGTTATGTTGATATTGTTTTCATAATGAAATGTAAAATAATCAATTTGAGGAGCCGTAGTGGCTCAGTGAGCAAGTCGCGGACTCCCTAGTCTGGAGTTCTTGGTTCCGATTCCGGTGTTTTCCACCTGTAATTCTCCAATTGAAAGGCACATTAGCCTGTAAGCATATTCGATCAGCATTGGTAATGATCACTAGCAGTTCAGTGCTAATTAAAGCATAGATCGTTTCTACTAAATTTTGACTGACGGACAGGAATGGCGACAAAGTACTATATCTAATGTAATGTGGGCTTATACAAATTTGTTTAATTTCCATAGTAGTGGGTGTAATTTAACAACAAATGATCAAAGCGAATTGGTTAATAAAGTGATCAAAACTTCATCAAGAAAATGTGGCATGGTTTCCTTAGCGACATTGTATAATCTCCACATGAGATTAGCAGTGTGGGTAACTAACTCCAATTATCAGACAACCGTCTATTCAGTTAATTGTTACACGCAAGACAACTAATCGAAATGTGAAAACACGTTGGTCGTCTATATATCCAAGAGAAGGGTTCTCCAGTTCGTCCATGCTGATTATATCCTCCCACTTATAGCGTTCTTTTAGCTGAATCGTCAACTGTTTTATTTTGGTTCTCTGGTGGTTCCGTTTGTTCAGTAATCTCAGATTAATTAATATTTTAGTGGGCAATAATCCGGTAAACGAATCGAGTACCTTTAACTCTAACTGGAGAGAGAGTTTATCGTTTCGTATGGATGCATATCGCCAAAAGGACACTCCGCCATCTTCAACATCCGAGTTTCCGATGAAGTGTATTTTCCTCCCATTCCTTAAATTAAATTGGAAAATGATTGTCTTTTGTATGTCCACTCCTGAGTTATGGTTGCTTGCTATCTCTGTGTCATTTTTCTTCATGCCTGTCTTTATTTGACCAAGCTGGTTAGTTAGCTGTATTTTGTTCATTTCACCTTCTTGAAACGACAGTGTGTTGGGTTCTGGAACAACGAGGTCCTTTTTACCATTTTCAATCTCCCGTAGAAGTTTCGTTTTTAAAACCAATAATTGTGATACCCCGATATGGTCTACATCATCTGATATTTCTTTTAAAAGATTCTTTGTTTCTTTTAATAATTCATTGGCCAGTGATTCTGAGCTCGTCGTCTCCTTCTCGGCCTGAGCATGACTTTGCGTTACTTCGTTTTGCATTTTACTTCCAATAAGGCGAAGCGCTGCGCAAAGTTTATCCACTCTTTTATCAATTTTGGTGCATATTTGTAAAGTTTGTGTCTCGATCTCCTTCTTCTGTAGCTGGATGGATTCTGAATATTGTTGGTATTTCAGTAAGGTGTTCTCTAGCTCCCCTCTCAGTGATTGGATCTCTAATTTTGTCTCGAGTTTAAAATCGTTTAAATCACTGACCGAGTGACCATTGTGATCAGTTATAAAACATTTATAACACATGGATACATTACACTGCTTACAATATAGATCTATTTCTTTCATGTGATTAACACACATCCTACTTTCACTTTCATCATCAGGAATGGTGGACACGTTTCCACATATGGCGTCTCTAGATTCACTCCCCTCTGTTTGTTGTGATAGGTAAAAATTTGTAGCAAATTGTTCAGGAATCCTGATGACTTTACGACAAGTAGGACAGGGAAAATGGCCGTTCTCAGATTTGTTTGAAATATAATCATCCAGACAATTTTTACAAAATGTATGAAAACAGTCAATTATTTTTGGATTTTTAAAATCACACAAACATATACTACACTCCATCTTGGTCGCCATTTTCTACACACGAAATATTTAAACCCTCACGAATAAACAACAATCGAAACTAGTATCACAATTATTTTATCTTTCTGTTCAAGGTTCAATCCAAACCACTCGATCAAACAACAATTCCACATGGTTGTAGTATATGCAAACCACAGAAATAGTTCTATAGCCAGCTAAACATTAATAATTATTGTATGGTTGTAAAGCAAACAGCCACTTCTCAAGCCTACAACAATCGAAACTTGTATCACAGTTATATTATTTTACTCAAGGTTCAGTCCGACCTCTCGATCAAACAACAATTGCAGTCAGTAGAAATCACTTCTATAGCCCACTGAACATCAGTCGATAAAACAATATTTACATATGGTTGTAAAACAAGCAAGCATCTCAAATCGGCAAACCACTTCTCAAGCCTACTGTTCATTATTGAGTATACTCCCTTCAGCGATAACACGTAAGACGACACCTTTGCTGATACCTACAAACATATTAAAATAATCGTTCGGATGAATTTTAAGTAAGGTGTATAAATATCAAGGGGTATAAAATGTGGGCGTATAAAAATGTACAAAAAAATATCACAAAGTGTTATAAAATATGAAATAAGTAAAACTTGTGAAAACTATTTAAAACATAACAATTCCAAACGGTTAAAGTTTGCCTGAGAAGGCTAAATAAATCCGAAATTACTCGCAAAGACCTAGTTTTCTTTCCTTAAACAGCTTTATTTCCAATATCTAACACCTGATAGTAGCTTTAACTATAACCTGATTGGGCAAGTAACTGACGTAGAAACTGACAAAGGTGACACAAAACAATTTTGGCCAGTCTCCTGAGAGAGGCTTAATGGGACGTTGGTTGTTTACATCGACAAGATCCCATGGCAGTAGCAAGCGGCCATAAATAACATCATTAATACGGGATTTAAAATCCGTGTATGGAATTAACAAGCAGTTGCCATGCAAGGTGCGCCCACATTTTGCAAGAGATAGACAGAGAACTGGCTAAAAAAGGCGACTTTTTGAACAATCAGGGGCCATAATCCCGGATGTTACGCTCCGATATGCATGAATATCGAAAGGAAACGAGTTAAACTTTCATCAACATCGGATAAAAACTGTGACTTGGTACTTTTACCATATTTGTTTACAAGGAGCAGCCATTTTGTCGGGCGGATTCCATTTTCACGAAATTCGAACGCAACCCAAATTAGGGTGTAACGGTGATATATGTAAACAAATTGTGGACGGACATTGGCGACGACAATATACGTCCACATGAAAATATGGGCTTATAAAAATCGGATAAGGGCAAATCTATGACAGACTTGGCAACCAAATCTGCTTTGTCATTCTCTGTTATATCCGTATGACAAGGGAGTCAGCAAAGAACTATGTCCTTGCTAATCAACTAGTATGATAGTAGTTGACAATAAATGTGTGCTGCTAATGGGTGGTCAAGCTTGTAAAGAGGACACAGAATCAGAAAACAATTTGGGTTTCAAATCGGACAAGGTCTGAATGAATGCAAGAAGAATGACCCAGAGTCTAGCTGTATGGATGGAGGCAGTATTCGGAAGGTGGAATGGACACCATGCCACTTGGCTCAATGACGGAACGTATGATCGAAATCATACACCTTAGACCATTCGTCACCTAACCGGAGTAATTAATTAGTCTGGTATCCATTGTCCGTATCTTCTTTATTGTGGTGTTAAAATCATTCCAAGTATTTTGAATATCATGCAAACTACTATATCGTGAACGTTGAATCTCTGAAAGGAATATCAGTCCCGAAATGGTCGGATTCCTATCAATATTTACAAAGATATGATAAATTGGAAACTTGGCAACATTTCGAAAATGATCAAAACAAGTCAGCGTCACTTGGACTCGTGGTTAAAATCTTTAGATCAGCCTGTTTTAATCTGATCGAATGATACGATTTAAACAAGGGGGGTAACTACTGTATTCACAGAAAACTATTTCTATTTCACACTTCGCTATGCAGCAAAAGTATTCGTAAAGTGAAAATATGCAGATCTAAATATCCTGCCTGTGCTTTTTCCAAATCTGGTTGTTGTAAGGTCCTTGTTTATATACGAAATACAGAAAACTACAACATCTGAAATGAAAACCAAATCGAATTTTTGAAATACAAGTAATAATAATAGTAACATTATTCAGTGTTCAAGGCCTCCCGTCCATAGTGCATTATGTTACAGTAGTATATTTACAATTGTAATTTTCATTTAATATTATAATAACAAAAATATTACTCAAAATAGCTTTACCCTATAGGTCAAACCCACTTTTCCAATAAAACCGAAGACTGCATAACGATTCGACAAGACTTAGAAGTATTATTAATACTATTATCTCTCCAGATCAGTCATGTATTCCTGGTCGTGATATTTCAGATAATATTGCTTCGATAAGAGATGTTTTAAATTATGTTGATTTTGAAAATATACCATGTTACATTTTAAAACTTGATGCTCTCAAAGCTTTCGATCGAGTTTCACATTCCTATATTTTTACTGTACTAAAACATTTTAATTTTGGTGATAGTTTTATTGATCACGTTAAAATATTATACTCCAATATATACAGTAGTGTTAAAGTAAACGGCCATATATCTCGCCCTTTCCCGGTAACCAGATCTGTCAGACAGGGTTGTCCACTTTCAGCACTTTAGTACGTACTTACAGCAGAACCCCTCAATGCCCTTATAAAATCTAATCCGAGCATAAAAGGAATATGTATACCAGGTTCACCCACCCCATCCCTCCTATACCAGCATGCAGATGATTGCACCCTTACGCTATCAAACACTGATTCTATTATAAAAACCTTTTCACAGATAAAACCATACTGCAAGGCCTCTTGGGCGAAAATCAACGTCGAAAAATCCCAATTATTACCAGCTGGATCTGTTAAAAATGAACATGTTTCACTCCCTGTACAAGTTGAAATTATCTATGAATGCATCGAAATATTAGGTATTTACTTAGGACCAAACTCCAATGCATGTAACCATAAAAACTGGGATACCAAACTAAATAAAATTAAGAGAATTTTAAATAATGGGAAAATCCTGTGTCATTAATTCAATATGTATGTCCTTATTATGGTATCCCCTAAGGGTCTTGAATATACCTTCTTATATTATTAAAAAAGTTGAAGAATTTATAAAAGATTTTATGTGGTTTAATAAAACACCTCAAGTCAAGAGCTCCACCATTATAGGTTCATATGATCAAGGCGGTCTAAATATACCCAAACTTGTTTTAAGACAATATGCTTTCAGATTAAATGTTTTAAAGAAATACAATGATAGTACTTTTCATGCTGTATGGAAGCACCTTTTTACTTATTTCCTTAATTCATACCACAACATGAATATAGATATTGAAATTTTCGCATTAAAACCTATTTCAAGTGGTTTACTAAATATACCAGACTTCTATAGATCTATTTTAATTGCATGGAATAACATTAATAATAATACAAGGAGACCACCATTAAGTTATAATGACATTTTAAACCAACCATTGTTTGATAACCCCTTTATATTGTATAATAATAAGTCTCTCCATTATGACATATTTATTAGCAATAAGATTGTAAAAGTTTCTGATATTTGTTATTGTGTTATACCAGGTTTGCTCCCTTTAATTCATATAATTGATTTATTTACCATTAATAATGATGATGTTGATATTGTTAAGATTGAAAAATATTATAAAACCATATGTTCATGCCTACCAAATGACTGGCTTGTCATGATTAATAACGAGAGTCATGTGATTGATAAGCATATTATTCTTCATATACAAACTAATGATGATTATGTACCAATTACAAATTGTACATCTAAGCACTTTTATAATGTTTTAAGAAAGAAATTTTATAAAGAATCCACTAGTATAAATTTTTGGAATCAGCTTAATTACGATATTGATTGGAAAAATGTATGGAAATCCATAGGTTATTACTTAAAAAGCAATGAATGTATAGAAAATGATTTTAAAATAGCTCATAACATTATATATACAAATGAGAAACTCTTCAAGTATAAAACTATTGATAGTCCTCTGTGTACGTGTTGTCTCTGTTTAGGTGATATAGAGAATATGCAGCATTTACTTCTTAATTGTCCAAAAATTTCAGAATTTATTAAGAATCTAAAATCTATATTAATTAATTTCTACCCTGAAGGATTTAGCTCTGTCTATTTTAATAAAATATTGTTGTTTGGTGTCCAATCTATTAAAGGTAATAAAAAGAATAATATTTTAATTCTACTACTATCTTTTGCCAGACTAGCTATAATTAAACGCAGAAATATGTTTCTAAAGACTGATAAAATTGTAAATGTTTTCAAACTTTTTATAACAATGTTACAACATCATTTTCAATACCTATATTTTTATTTAAAAGAACAGAAATTTAATGATTTAATATGTATACCAAATCTTGTATATATAGAAAATAATGAAGTTAAATTATGTATAATCTAATGTATTTACAATTGACTAATTCAGTCCACACGCCACCTTTAGTAGCAGACGAATCTTCACCGTCTGCGCGGAGTATGACCTAGTTGCATAAATACTCAACAGTCTCTTTTATCCAGCTATAATGCTACAGCATACATCTCTGTAGACTAGTACATCCAAAACTCTTTAAACTACAACATGTAATAAAACTGTTTGAAGCATTTTCTCCGTAACTTTCTAATCATATATAACTTTTTATTTGTCTATTTTATCCAATTGTTTTAAAAATATACATGTTATTTGAATTATAAATATAATATCATGATACAAGTTTACTATTATTGTGACCCACTTTACAACCCGTCATCCAGACATAAACACTCAATCTGTGTCAGCATCACAAGCCTTTATTATCCAGTTCAAAGTTACCTATATTCCCCATAGTAAACTTGTTCATCCAGCCCTCCAAAAAATTTAACATGGGAATTTGCTATTGCAAAACTTTTCATCAGAATTTCTTAACAATTATTTAAGTATAAACATTTTTCTTGTCTATAATATAAGGTTGTAAAGAAAGCAGTTAACACAAATCTTTACAACCTTATGTAACTATTGCTTTATTGAATGGTTTGTTTTCGTATCGCCGTAGAATAGTAGTCCATTCAAGACAAATAAATAACGACAGGTTTTGTTGTCTGTGTTAAAGGCTCATATCATTATGTATGTATTTATGTGTCCATTGCATTGTCCTACGTGTAAGGCTTATACTCAACAAATGTTATATGCACAGTGGACTTGAGAAGTGACTGTTTGCTTTACAACCATACAATAATTATTAATGTTTAGCTGGCTATAGAAGTGATTACCACCATTTGGAATTGTTGTTTTATCGAGTGGTTCGGATTGAACCTTGAGTAAGATAATATAATTGTGATACAAGTTTCGATTGCTGTTCATTCGTGAGGCGAGATATTTCCTGTATAGAAAATGGCGACCAAGATGGAGTGTAGTATATGTTTGTGTGATTTTAAAAATCCAAAAATAATTGACTGTTTTCATACATTTTGTAAAACCTGTCTGGATGATTATGTTTCAAACAAAACTGAGAACGGCCATTTTCCTTGTCCTATTTGTCGTAAAGTCATCAGGATTCCTGATCAATTTACTACCAATTTTTACCTATCACAAGTAACAGAGGGGAGTGAATTGACAGATGTCATATGTGGAAAGGTCTCCACCATTCCGGATGATAAAAGTGAAATAAGGATTCCCGAACCATTTGCTACCAGTTATCTCTTACAAGAAACAGGCGCGAATGAATCTACAGACGCCATATCTGGAAACATTTCCACCGTTACCCAGCGGGCACGCAACGTTGTTACAACATTGTGACAACGTCAATATTGGTCGTGACGTTGTACAACGTGTTTTCGACCAATATTCGACGTTGTATTTACGTCATATACAGGTTGTTGACACAACGTTGTCACAACGTCATCAAAACGTTATCAAAACGTCATATACAGGTTGTTGTCACAACGTTGTCACAACATTGTCACAACGTCATCAAGACGTTATTCTAACGTCATATACAGGTTGTTGTCACAACGTTGTCACAACGTTATCAAAACGTCATATACAGGTTGTCGTCACGGCGTTGTTACAACGTTGTTACAACGTTGTCACAACGTTGTAACAACGTCTTCAAAACGTTATCAAAACGTCATATACAGGTTGTTGTCACAACGTTGTCACAACGTCATCAAAACGTTATTCAAACGTCATATACAGGTTGTTGTCACAACGTTATCAAAACGTCATATACAGGTTGTTGTCACGGCTTTGTTACAACGTGGTCACAACGTTGTCACAACGTCTTCAAAACGTTATCAAAACGTCATATACAGGTTGTTGTCACAACGTTGCCACAACGTTATCAAAACGTCATATACAGGTTGTTGTCACGGCGTTGTTACAACGTGGTCACAACGTTGTCACAACGTCTTTAAAACGTTATCAAAACGTCATATACAGGTTGTTGTCACAACGTTGTCACAAGGTTATCAAAACGTCATATACAGGTTGTTGTCACGGCGTTGTTACAACGTGGTCACAACGTTGTCACAACGTCTTCAAAACGTTATCAAAACGTCATATACAGGTTGTTGTCACAACGTTGTCACAACGTTATCAAAACTTCATATACAGGTTGTTGTCACAACGTTGTTAAAACGTTGTCACAACATTGTCATAACGTTATCGAAACGTCATATATAGCAGTTCGAACCTTGACCTCTGATTGTCAAACCAAGGTCACCACGAGACTCCCAGGGGTCAATTTAGTTTAAATAGCCACGACCTCAAGGTCGTCGGATCCGATTTGGGATGGGCGAGTTATCTGCCCTTAGACCACACCGCTGTAATGCTCGGCTATTTCACTTTCTAGGGAAATTTGCCCCAAAAATGTCATCCGATCGCCCCGGGGTTTGGTGACCCGATAGACTGACCCAACATTTGTTCTTCATTTTTTAAAATCGCCAACCAAAAGTCGTGACCTTGACCCGCTAGGGGCCCCGGAAGTATTTTGTTTTTTGAACCCTAGGGGCCCATCTAATAAAGTCAGGACCACTGGACCTTGACCTTCCAAAATGTCATCTTGGTCCACATGACCCCGGTAGGTCAAGGTCATCAGAAAGGGTCAAGGTCACCAAAATATCTACTGAGTTCGATGCTCCCGGGCACATGGTGGGGCCCCTGGTCTGCGCGGCAAATCAAAGGTCATGACCATGGATAGGCAACTCATTGACCTTTCGAATGGGGCCTTGACCTTTGACCTGACCCTTGACCTTGGGATCGAAAAAGTCCCAAAACTTCATGAACAACCCAGATATCACGAATAAATCTCAAGGTCAAAGTCGTGACCCGCACCCGCAAGGTCAATTTTGGGGTTGTAACCTGAGTCAAGGTCATGACATTGCCTGACATTCCCTGTTCCCGGCAGCCATTTAGGTAAAAAGTCACATTCAAAATCCCGAGAGAAAGTGAAAGCGGAACTTTCAGAATGTTATTTGGAAGAAAATATTTTGCTTTCTTGTCAGTCAAATAAAGATCCCCAAATTCGATGATTTTTAAGTATAATAAAACATTTTCACTTTCTTGTCATTGAACACGGCGAATTTGTACTGCATTGATCGCGGATTGAAACATTTCGTCGGGTCCCACTCGGCGGTGTGCGACATCGGTCAGTTATTTGTTTTATAATTTTTCGGAAATCATAATTTCCTTTAATGCATTAAAGTTATTGGTGTACTAAATAGGCAATACTGGCTTGCTTTCATGTTGCTGAGCACACGGGTTGGGAAAGCAAGAAAAGGCGTTTGCGTCCGTCAAGTATTATAAAAATGTATTATGAACTTTAAACGAGATGCCTCTCCCGCACCTAAATGTCGCTGTTTTTACATCCGGTGTTTTTCAATTGAAATAATAACACAAAACACAGAAAATGGTGATTAATGCATATTGTGTAGTGTGCAGCGTTTGCTACACAAATTCAGTGCATAAAACAGGAATTGCAATGCGCTTATCTATAGAAATTGACGTATGATCTTGGGTACAGTTGTATTGGTTAACGACGTAGATCGAGATTTAATAACACAATACAAACTATAATACATTTTATTTAAGGCTTATTGTAAAACAACTAGAAGCTGACAAATATTCTGGTTAATTCTTCAGTAAATTATCTGGTAACACTAGCGGTTTTTTTTCCCGCGGAAACTGATAACGTGACTCTAAATGTTGCCGCGAAAGATGCTTCTGGGACGCCATATTGGTTTTTTGGTTCGTGCCGAAGGTAAGTTCTATTATTTTAACTCTCAACCGGGTATGTGGAAGGGATATAAAAATCGTCAATTGCTTCTTCTAAGGCTAATATAAGATCAGATAAAATTATATTGTATCTTAACACCCCATTAGGCTATTAGAGACAGCATACAAATACAAACAAAACATTAGGCTACCTACGCAACAGCATTATCAATGGCTATAAAACAACAAAAACACCAACTATATTTACATGTATGTAAAACACGCGCACCTATACATACATCATGTAGTAACAGAGACTATTATTATTAAGTTGAATATGAAAGCCCCTCGAATTTGATTACCGGCAATGTAGGTTTGGACTTTGTTGACTACCGCGATGTAAGTGGCGACGTTCATTTCAAAACACACTCAGACTGCAGCTGTGCCGAGTGAATTTCATATTTTTAAGTTATATTTTTAAAATGTATTAAAGTAAAGCTTTAAAATAGATGGTATCTATAAACAGTCCTACCTTGTTACAGAATTATCCTATTATTCCTATAATTCACTATTGCCAGTTGAGAAATTGGCCAAAATATCATTTTCAACTTCTAATTCAAATGTTTGCAGATAGTTTTTCCATGGGGGGGGGGGGGTAGAACAACAAAGGTGGTAATTGTGTTATTATTTCCGGTGTGAATGATTTTATAAGTGCCATAATGATACCTATGATCCTATAATATTGAGTTGACAGCCTATTGAGCAAAAGATATAGAAATAATTATGTTTTGACTTTCTTAAAAAATATGAAACTCTTGCTTTAACTTTTAAAACTAGCTGGACCAGCTGCATGATTGTGTCAGTCCGCTCAGAATACACGAGTCTAGGCCAAGCGACGTAGAATTTAGAACCGACGTGATCTGCACTTGTCTAGGCTAGACATTTGCGTTGATGTGTTGCGCAAGTAGATCTAACTAAATGAAATCTCTCATCATTAGTTTTTTCATATTACTCATATACATTGCCGTTAAACGAATAATTTGCGACACATAGCAAGCCATTTGATCTATTCTACACGTCACTGGGCTATTTGATTTGACGGAGTTTTGTTACCCACGGCAAAATCTCGATCGACGTAGACTTAACGCAATTTTTATCATTCGGCTTCACTAAACAAATTATTAATAAAAACAGCCGTAGATCGACATCTAATAGTGCTAATGTAAATTTAATAATACTATTCCGGTATAAAAAAAAGAAATAATAATAAAAGAATAATGAAATCAATTCAATCTCTTTTAAGTATTCAAATGATCATTTTAAGTAGATACCGTTATATTACTGAGCGCCATGGAAAACGCATCACTTTTTTTCCCAAATATTTTATTACTAGTTGGTTTTGTATGTATAATATTATGCAATACTATGAACTATTGTTTCACACAATGCTCCCAAACGCCAAAAAATTCGGCCCGTGTGCACAAAAAAAAATTGCATGAGATGCACATGAAAAACCCAATATTCACCTGCAGCATTGTGTGTGAGCCCTTTAAAAGCATGTTTTCAACTTAATGTGCTGTACATGAACTGTGAAACGTGAATTTGTCGTAATTTGTTGTTGGACGTGTGAAGGAATCGAGCTAGAGATGCCGAGACTTACTGAAAATCAACGGAATGAAGCCATGGGAATGTCCAGGGCTGGCATGTCTACGCGTGCTATTATTGCCAGACACCTCAATTGTCATCAGTCCACTACTGTAAGGTTGGTGGAACGTATTCGAGTTACTGGATCAACGCGTGACCGTCAACGTCCTGGTCCACAACGCGTTACAACCCAGGCTCAAGACCGCTACATCCGGGTCACTCATCTGCGTGACAGATTCTGCCCAGCGACTCAAGCATGTGCGGCAGTCGTCGAAAGAAAAGGACCAGTAAGTGCCAACACCGTAAGACGTCGTCTAAGAGAAGTAGGACTCGACGACGACCTTATGTTGGAGCTATCCTTAGGGATCATCACCGTCAGCGGCGTTTGATATGGGCTCAAGGACACACCAGGCATGGAGAAGAGTAGACTGGCAAAGTGTGCTCTTCAGTGATGGGAGTCGCTTTCATCTTTATCACGCTGATGGCCGTCAACGTGTGTGGAGACGTCTTGAGGAACGTCTTGCAGACTGCTGCGTCTTCGAAACGAATCGATGGGGTGGGGGAAGTGTAATGATGTGGGGAGGCTTCACATTTCATCACCGGACCGCCCTACACATTTGCAGGGGTCGCGTTAATGCTGTAGCCTACCGTGATGATGTCTTGCAACCAATTGTTGTTCCGATGTTTCGAGCGCACCCACAACTTCAGCACTTCCAACAGGATAATGCACGTTCGCATACCGCCCGTTTTAGTATGGACTTCCTGGCTGCTAACAACATCAATGTCTTGAACTGGCCAGCCATGTCTCCGGACATGGCACCAATAGAACATGTTTGGGATGAGATTGGACGCCGTCTGTATCGGAGACCACAGATGCACACCATTGCTGCTTTAGAAGCTGCTCTTGTCCAAGAATGGAACAATTTGCCCCAGGCCTTCTTTCAAACATTGGTTAATTCCATGCGACGTCGCTGCACAGCGTGCGTAAAAGCCCGTGGAGGACACACGCGCTACTGACATCTGTGCCGTACTTTTGGTTTTGACCCCTCTGACTTTGTACCGTTGATTACAGATTAAACATCCATAAGTGTACAAATGTGTTGTTATTGATGTGTTCCCATTTGAATATTGTTCACAATAAGAAGCAAAATAAATAAGATATGTTTACAGGATCATTTTGTTATACGAAAAACTAAGTGATGCGTTTTCCATGGCGCTCATTATATATAAGTGTGAAACCTGGCCATTATTTAATTAATTACAGTTCTAAGTGAATCCCAGCAAGCACAAAATATTTCAAAAACGTTTTTTGTTTTTGTTTTTGTTATTTTTCTTGTTTCTAAAAGGTTATGTAAAAAAAAAATATTTATTAAACGTTTTTTAAATGTTTTAAGTGTAAGTTTTTCAGAAGTTTTCGATAAATATTGATAAAAATGTTTAATATAATATGTTTAGATAACGTTCATAATTGATGTTTTCTTACAAAATTTTCCATTAAAACGTAGTACCGTAAATATGATTTTTTTAAACGTTTATGAACCGTTTATAAAGAACCCGCAATGAATAGGTAACAATTACCTATACACGCCATTTGAAAAAAAATATTTTTTAAAAAACATTTATTAAACGTTTATTACACCTTTAAAACTTAATTACGTTCTTAACTTAATTGCAAAATATCTATATTTAATGTACCGGTATATAAAAAAAACCCAATAAAGGTCAAGATTAATTATCTTATACATATTTTATTTTAAAACACACCCAAGGTTGACAGTTGGCCCAATCAAATTTAAACATCTTTCCGCCAAAAAGGAATCCCAGCCAAACCTGCATGGCTGCTTTTATAGAGCTGTGATAAACTGTCGAGTTTTATAAGTTGCTAGAAGGCGTAACAGTTGAGAATTAGGTATGTTACGATTAATTAATATTTTGTGTCCATTTAGAAATAATTATGATATAAAAGAATTAAATGTTTCGGTAATTGTAGATTATTTTCTACTGGTGCCATTTCCACGTAGTCGAACTTCTATTGTCATTTCATTATTGAACCCTCCTTGCAAAGTAAATTGAGTATTTTAAATATGTTTTATTATCTCTTAAATGATTTATTTTAGTTCTGAAACTTTAGTGTTTTTATTTTATAATTGTATTGCATTTTAATCATTTAGTTTTTGGTCATTTGCTATGTCTGGATTTGGAAAGAGCTATTTCAATCTATGTCTGGAATTGGAAGGGGCCATTTCAATATTTATAGTATTGTATAATGGACTTTCCCATTATCTATTATCTTTAAATTTATAGGGTTACCAATTTCATGAATTGTTTAGATAAGTTGATACTACCCCAAGCTTTGCAGGGAGTGTTAATAATAATGTAACGTGTACAAAACTTCGAGCGGGAATTAATAAGACATTAATTTCCCGTGATATATTACAAATGACAAATGCTATATGAACTTTGGGCTGTATGAACTATTTATATAGTCTTTAGTGAATGAAAACATTTTGGCTACCATTCCTGGTTTTGAATGTCAAATATGATATGAAAACGAATATCGGTTTGTAATTTTTTTAACCGTTTCACCAGTAGTAACCGATGAACGGTTAACCAAGTCGCTGTATACATCTTAATTATTAGGCAACCAAGTCTACGATCTTAATTAAAAAGATAGGTTGACACGCAACAAAACATATATGCTCTGAAAATTAAATCTTGTACTTTGTCGATCTACGGACAGGTGGATATAATGCCGGGCTAGTGCGACTGTTAACACCACAGCTCTTTAATTACATGCTTGTGGGTTTTAGATTTAATTCAAGTGAAGGGTAATTTTATTATTAAATGTACAACATCAATATCCATGAGCATACACCTGCATAATTGAACTGACATTGATTGTAAATATTACAGTGATTGAAATATAATAATATACTAGATGTGTTTCATTTATTTCATGTTATAGCTATAGGTAACCCATCTGATGAGCCTTGGTGGTTACCAGTTTAAAGTCGTATTCTTTCTTTTGAAAACAAATTGATAAAATAATCGTACATTCGTTTTCCAATCGTCTTCGTCTTAAAGGAGTCAAGTCTCTAACTCAATATCATCCACAGTCTTCGACATTGCAACCATGGGACTCATTGTTTAATTAAACCCAACATCAATGTTGTAACCGTGAAAAGATGGGCTTCTAATGTCCAATATTTAACACAAAGTTAAAGTTTTGAAATTGCCACACGAATCGCGCGCAAGAATGCTTTCAAATTTCATTTGTAATAGAGAGACTCGAAGAATGAAGTTAAATATACCCAAGAGAATACTATATGCGGGTGTAAACTTGAATAACCAGACGCCAAAGACTGGCATTCAATTTGGACTCTTCGCGTATGGGGGGTTGGATGGCCGAATGGTTAGCACGCGCACGCTGTATCATACGGTCTGTCATTGAGTCAACTGGCGGGGTTTCGATTCCCCGGTTGTACGTGACAAGGAGTTTGGTCGCCTGTCTAACCTGGTGGGTTTTCTCCGGGTCCTCCGGTTTCCTCCCACTGCTAAAAAGACCCCTACGCGCTAGCGAATTATTGAAATAAAATTGAACCATGTGTTAGTCCCGAAATGACCAAGTTTGTGTCAAGTGGACGTTAAACCCCATTTCTCTCTCTCTCTTCGCGTATTTCGCCGAACATAACTGATTAGACATTACAGTAAAAACAGAAACGATTAAATGTAAATCAGTTAATATACAAACATATTACATTATTATATGCGTTGCAACCCATTTATGTCCATATCTAGGTGTCAAGGAATGGAAAGTCAAAATTCGTGGTATTGTCAAACGCATAAACAGTATGTCTTTTTATTTTAACAGGTTGATGTCTAATTCCCTAATGGCCCAATTTAATTTAAAGGGAAATAAAGGGAGGCGGTCCATAATGGACTTAGAAATTTACAAAGTTGTCCGAGGTTTGTTTTTATCATACTCAATTTACGAACATATCCTTAAATATCTGATAATCAAACATGGTATGGGCATACACGAGTTTTTATTACTTCATCGATGAGTGTTGATCTTTTTATACGCCGACATTGAAATGTGGTCGTATATTGTCCTCGCCCCCGTCCGTCCGTCCGTCGGTCCGGCGTCCACAATTGCTTGATCACTTCAAAAAATCTTGGGGACGCTCTAGAGGCCAAAGTTAATATCCGATTGACTTTAAATTTATACACAGTGTTTAAGGTCATGAGACGAAGAAGCCTATTGATTTTCAGCGATTTCCGATAATTACTGCCAGAGTTATGGTCCTTGATCACTTCAAAAAATCTTGTGGACGCTCTAGAGGCCAAACTTAATATCCGATTGACTTTAAATTTATACACAGTGTTTAAGGTCATGAGACGAAGAAGCCTATTGATTTTCGGCGATTTCCGATAATTACTGCCAGAGTTATGGCCCTTGATCACTTCAAAATATCTTGTGGACGCTCTAGAGGCCAAAGTTAATATCCGATTGACTTAAAATTTATATACAGGGTTTAAGGTCATGAGACGAAGAAGCCTATTGATTTTCAGCGATTTCCGATAATTACTGCCAGAGTTATGGCCCTTGATCACTTCAAAAAATCTTGTGGACGCTCTACAGGCCACAGTTAATATCCGATTGACTTTAAATTTATACACAGTGTTTAAGGTCATGAGACCAAGAAGCCTATTGATTTTCAGCGATTTCCGATAATTACTGCCAGAGTTATGGCCCTTGATCACTTCAAAAAATCTTGTGGACGCTCTAGAGGCCAAACTTAATATCCGATTGACTTTAAATTTTATACACAGTGTTTAAGGTCATGAGACGAAGAAGCCTATTGATTTTCAGCGATTTCCGATAATTACTGCCAGAGTTATTGCCCTTGATCACTTCAAAAAATCTTGTGGACGCTCTAGAGGCCAAAGTTAATATTCGATTGACTTTAAATTTCTACACAGTGTTTAAGGTCATGAGACGAAGAAGCCTATTGATTTTCAGCGATTTCTGATTATTACTGCCAGAGTTATGGCTTTTGATCACTTCAAAAAAATCTTGTGGACTCTCTAGAGGCCAAAGTTATTATATCCTATTGACTTTAAATTTATACACAGTGCTTAAGGTCATGAGACGAAGAATCCTATTGATTTCCAGCAATTTACGATAATTACTGCCAGAGTTATGGCCCTTGATCATTTTGAAAAATCTTGTGGACGCTCTAGAGGCCAAAGCTAATAACCGATCGACTTTAAATTTACACATAGTGTTTAAGGTCATGAGACGAAGAAGCCTATTGATTTTCAGCGATATCCGATAATTACTGCCAGAGTTCTGGCCCTTGATCACTTCAAAAAATCTTGTGGACGCTCTAGAGGCCAAAATTAATATCCGATCGATTTTAAATTTATACACAGTGTTTAAGGTCATGAGACGAAGAAGCCTATTGATTTTCAGTGATTTCCGATAATTACTGCCAGAGTTATGGCTCTTGATCACTTCAAAAAATCTTGTGGACGCTCTAGAGGCCAAAGTTAATATCCGATTGACTTTAAATTTATACACAATGTTTAAGGTCATGAGACGAAGAAGCCTATTCATTTTCAGCAATTTCCGATAATTACTGCCAGAGTTATGGCCCTTGATCACTTCAAAAAATCTTGTGGACGCTCTAGAGGCCAAAGTTAATATCCGATTGACTTTAAATTTATACGCAGTGTTTAAGGTCATGAGACGAAAAAGCCTATTGATTTTCAGCAATTTACGATAATTACTGCCAGAGTTATGGCCCTTGATCACTTTGAAAAATCTTGTGGACGCTCTAGAGTCTAAAGTTAATATCCGATTGACTTTAAATTTATACACAGTGTTTAAGGTCATGAGACGAAGAAGTCTATTCATTTTCAGTGATAATTACTTCCAGAGTTATGGCCCTTGATCACTTCAAAAAACCTTGTGGATGCTCTAAAGGCTAAAGTTAATCTCATTGACTTTAAATTTATACACAGTGTTTGAGGTCACGAGGCGAAGAATCCTATTGATTTTCAAAGATTTCTGATAATTACTGCCAAAGTTATGGCCCTTGATCACTTTGAAAAATCTTGGGGACGCTCTAGAGGCCAAAGTTAATATCCGATTGACTCCAGATTGATACACAGAGTTTAAGATCTTGAGGCGAACAAGTATATTGATTTTCAATGAATTTTTATGACTTGAAACAGCTAAATCCATGATACAGTATTAAAAGTTTTGTATACAAAACGTTAGCATGGGGCAGAACTTTATAAAAACCTAACAAATTCTAATGGTTTTCTGAGTTGTTGCTCTTAATCAGATTTTAGTGTATTATAAATGTTTCATTACCGAAAAAAGTAAAAATATGTGACAACTGTTGTTGACTGCCTGGACGATTTAGCTACTGTGGGCGTATGTTTCGTTGCCTGGCAACCTATCTTTATGACTTGGACAGCTAAATCCATGATACAGTATTAAAAGTTTTGTATACAAAACGTTAGCATGGGGCAGAACTTTATAAAAACCAAACAAATTCTAATGGTTTTCTGAGTTGTTGCTCTTAATCAGATTTTAGTGTATTATAAATGTTTCATTACCGAAAAAAGTAAAAATATGCGACAACTCTTGTTGACCGCCCGGACGATTTAGCTGCTGTGGGCGTATGTTTCGTTGCCTGGCAACCTATCTTTTTTGTAATTTAACACCCATGCCTTTCTTACACGTACAAATTTATGGAGAATATGAAAGTAATAACACAAGCGATGTCTCATATAGAATGTGTTATTGGGTCATATATAATATAATTCATATGGGGTTTAACGTCCTACTGTTCTGCTCAGACTAGGCTAATGAAGATGGGCATGCGCTATACCGCGTGCAATGAAGGAAAAATTTACCCGGGCAGCGGCACTATGGCCTACTCTTATATCGAATTTCAACTGCCAAGAGATCTTTTACTTGCACGTCAATGTGTACACGAGGCCTCGGTTTTTCATACCATCCAAACGACTAACAGTTGTCCTTGTCAGGCCTACTGAACTTTCTCGGCAAATGTAGGGATCGAAAATGCGACCTTCAGACAAGCGAGCCAGCGTTTTACCCAATAAGCCACCTTTGGTCCATAATTCATGGGATGCAGAATTATCTGTTACAGCTTCAGGACCACCTTTTTGATCGGACTGAATTATATAATTTACAAAATTTGACAGAGTAAATATACAGTTTTTTGTATTCTTCAGATAGTGTAATGATCAGTCAGCCGAGCTGCAATGAAGCCGAGATAATAACAGCAGTTTCGGCTCATCTAAAATATGTGCCGGACAGAAGAGGGACCAATTAAGTACATGTACAGTTTAAATTTGTTTATTACATGTCATATTTTATTATAATCTTTATAAGCCATTTTAAGTTCTTTTATCATCCATTTAATTTTATTTTATTTTCTATGTGTGATGTCCACAAAATGTTAACTGCGCCATTGAGCATTGAGTGTTTTATATTGGTAATAGGCGCATTATAAATAATAAATTATTATTATTATTACAGTACCAATTGCATTAAAATTACTTTCTCATTTTTAGCAATATCATTCATTACCCATTACATTGAAAGTAAATAATTACATTTTATTACTATTTAAAGATTAGTGCTAATTTAGCATTTAATCAATCAGATTTAAAGACATGCATACCATTGGATAGTTCGCACTGATGTTTATATATATATTCATATCTTTCTCATTTTATTTATTTGTGTATATATGCTTGAAAACGACTTGTGAAATCTTGTTGAAACGTTGCAGTGAAATAAACCATAGTAATTGTTATTCCATAAAAGTGCGTTATTTGATTATGTTCTAATTACTAAATGCCATTCAAAGAATGCGCCATTAAATGTAATTGAAATGTAATTGACCATTACATGCTTTTCGGAATGTAATTAATTACATTTCCATTACTCATTACTTTTGAAATCTTCCATTACTCATTACATGACCATTACTTAAAATTTAATGATCAGATTCTATTACCTTTACCCATTACTGCAAAGTTATATGACTCTAGCATTAATATTGTCTGTAATATAATCGTTTGAATTGAATGTTTTGAAACTACGTACTGTCCTATTAATTAGATTGGTTGTGATGGGACACAATAACTTTGATTCTAATTGAGTGAGAGTGTTGAAACTTCGCGTATCGTTTCACTATGTCAAAACCGTGGCCCAAATCTGTCGGGCATTTAAGCCCCCCCCCCCCTTCCCCGCACACACACCTAATTTAACTTCCATTCTGCCCGGCCGCCTATTCCCGTCTTCGTTAGTCCAGTAGGGGCAGAACTGTAGGGAGTTCGGATGGGGCTTATACTGGGTTTTATACAACCTCAAAACAACAAATTCTGACGTCGTGACAACTTTTCGCCAACCACCACACAACGTTGCAAAACAACAAATTCTGACGTCGTGACAACTTTTCGTCAACCACCACACAATGTTGTGACAATGCTGCTTGAACGTCCGTACAACGTTGTCACAACTTTTCGTCAACCACCACACAACGTTGTGACAATGTTGCTTTGACGTCCGTACAACGTTGTCACAACTTTTCGTCAACCACCACACAACGTTGTGACAATGTTGCTTTGACGTCCGTACAACGTTGTCACAACTTTTCGTCAACCACCACACAACTTTTCGTCAACCACCACACAACGTTGTGACAATGTTGCTTTGACGTCCGTACAACGTTGTCACAACGTAAGAGTTTGTTGCAAAACAACCTACAGCTGACTTATTTCAGACGTTGTGATACAACCTCTGAAAAACGTTGTCACGACGTTCTGTGCCCGCTGGGTAATGATGATGAAAGTGAAAGTAGCATTTGTAGTAATCACAAGAAAGAAATAGATCTATATTGTAAACGGTGTAGTGTATCCATGTGTTATAAATGTTTAATAGCTGATCACAATGGTCACTCGGTCAGTGATTTAAACGATTTTAAACTCGAGATAAAGATGGAGATCCAATCACTGAGAGGTGAGCTAGAGAACACCTTACTGAAATACCAACAATATTCAGAATCCATCCAGCATCAGAAGAAAGAGATCGAGACACAAACTTCACAGATCTGTACCAGGATTGATAAGAGAGTGGATAAACTTTGCGCAGCTCTCCACCATATTGCAAATGAAATGAAAAGCGAAGTAAAGCAAAGCCATGGTCAGGCCGAGAAGGAGAGCTTAGAATCACCGGCCAATGAATTAGCAACAGAAACAAAGAACCTTGTAAAAGAAGCAACATATGATGTAGACCATATCGGGGTATCACAATTATTGGTTTTAAAAACGAAACTTCTACAGGAGATTGAAAATGGTAAACATGACCTCGTCGTTCCAGAACCCAACACACTGTCGTTTCAAGAAGGTGAAATGAACAAAATACAACTAACTAACCAACTTGGTCAAATAAAGACAGGCATAAAGAAAAAAGACACACAGATAGCAAGCAACCAAAACTTGTCCAACTCCGGGGCTGCAAGCGACGACAACTTGTTAAACTCAGAAGTGCCCATACATAAGGCATGCATATTCCAATTTAATTTAAGGCAGGGGTCGAAAATAAACATTTACGGAAACTCGAATGTTAAACACGGTGGTCTCTCAGTGTGGCGATATGCGTCTATTAGTAAAAACAAACTGTCTCTCCAACTTGAGTTAACGGTTCGCGATTCGTTTACTGGACCATTACCAAATAAAATATTATTGAAACTGGAATTGTTGAACAAACGGAATCACCAGTTAAATAAAAAAAAACCGTCGACGATTCAGCTGAAAGAACGCTATAAGTGGGAGGATGTAATCAGCATGGACGAACTGGAGAAGCCTTCTCTTGGATATATAGATGGTCAAGGTGTTTTCACTTTTCAATTAGTTATATTGCATGTAACAACTTAAAAATAGGTTATCTATCCACACTCCCATTTTCTGGTGGATTTATACGATGTCGCGAAGGGCAAAATGTGACATTTTATTTTTATTAGTTACTTGATGCATTTTTGACCAGGTTAATGACCACAAATAGAGGAATTTCTGCGATATTCTTTTGTTGAATTATTCGGAAAACTATTGAAATCAAAACTATTGAAATTAAACTAATTTGTAAACGCCCTCATTTGATGTGTTATTTTATTGTCGTCATCCCTGTCCGTCATTTCGTATAACCAATATTATGTTTTAACTAGATCTGTCGTCGAAACAAATTTGATATTTGTTATACAACCGAATCACTCACTTATACATTAATTACAATATCTAGTAGATTAATATGTATTGTTGTCCAGGTTTCTTTTTAAGAATTTTACAGAAAAAGAATTGCTAAAATGCATCAAAAAGTCGCTGTGTTATACAGAAAAGCATTTCAGCCAGGCAAAATATCTTGATTTTTGGGGTATTTTTTACAAGCACATGTTACGTACATTTATATTATAAAATAAAATAGATTGTCCAGTATAAACGGTTAATTACACGGGTTCCTACTATACACAGATCTAAGTACATACATTCATCATTGGGGAATCGTTATGGAGGAAATCTTAAAAAGATATTTCCATTTATTTATGTTTGATTCCAGCGATATCTCAATCTCCAATTTAGCATGTTCTACTAAAAAGCATTCATACTTATCAATATTGAGTATTTCTTTTCGTAGTTTAGCCCGATATATATATATAGAACTTAGTTAAAATATCAACATTCTAATTCCACCGTTCGATTTCCATATAGTGAAAATCGAATAAGAATTGTGGGACGAGATAGATTTTAAAGATTGACTTCTGTTTTCAAAATGGTGGCACGTCCTGTGAATTTTGACTTGATGAGATACTCCAAAAACTTGATTTTGATTAAACGTTCAAAATAAGCACCAAATAAATTAATTAATCGCTTAGCGTCAACATTTAAACTGATTTTAAAGTTATATATCTTTTTAAAAAATTTAGTTTAAAGACGTCACTTAGAAAAATACCATGTAGGTCAAATATTTGTCAAGCCTAGTTTATTTCGTCCTACGACGCGACAAAACTGGCGGCGACTGAAAATCGTCGACGGGTTTACGATAAAGTGGAATTGATCAGTCGTGGCTACCTGGGCGGCGTGAACGCCGTCCAGTTTTTCGGAGCCGCACATGTTCTACTCCTACGGCTGGTGACATCTAGTTATCTCTAGTCGCAAGCGACATGAGCGTACCTACGACTATCTTGAGTCGGCGCCTCGCTGAGGTAGCCTATAAGATTCGGTTATTTAGTCACATGGTGGACAAGTGGAACGGGGCCATGTTGAAGGTTATCACGTGATCAGTTGTTGCTCCGATTCTGCAACTGAAGTGGGGCGACATGAGCGCGCATACGACTATGATCAACTGGTTGCTCGTGGTTGCATCCAGTCGTGGATAAATTCAGTCATAGCGACATAAGCTCTCAGTTGCCGTTATTAGTCATCGTCAGTTTTATAGCGTCGTAGGGCGACATAAGCTAGGCTTAAGGTATTAAAGCTGTGTGTATATTCATTTTTTTACGGGCTCGTTGCAAAACATTTGTGCCACATCCACACAGCTGAGAAAGAACGATTCTAATTAATATACTATTCAAAAAAAGTAGGGGATATTTGATTTTGGGGGCATAATACTAAAATATGCAAATGACTACGAAAAAAGTCACTATAGAACCTAACAGAAGAAACATTTCCAGTTACATGTGACGCCCAAACGCACCAATAGCTACCGCATGGAATGCAGGTGACGCTTGGGATCATCATGGGGGTCCAACCCAAGATTTGCACGACTCTGACTTTGAATGTTACAGTCATTGTGGCATTGAATTCCAGGGTGGAAACATCAGTTTAATTGTTTTAGTGACCAGAAAACAAATTTTGATATGCGTCGGCTTACCCAAAATGAAAGGTTACGTGCCCTTGGCATGCTACAGATCGGCACAACACAGGCGGTTGTGGCGCGGACGATGAATGTTTCTCAGTCTGTCATAAGCAGGCTATGGTTCAGATACCGTGATACACAATCTGTACAGGACAGACCACGCTCAGGTCGACCAAGGGCGACAACTCAAGCCCAGGATCGATTTATCCGTACCTTGGCCTTGAGAAATCGTGTCATCACAGCAAATCAGATCAGCGCTCGTCTTCAAACAGACACTGGTGTGAGAGTGAGTGGCCAGACGATTCGGAATCGACTGCATAGGGGTCACCTTCGCGCCCGACGTCCTCGCGTGATCCCTTGTTTGAGAGATCATCACATTCAGGCAAGACGTCGTTGGTGTAGGGATCGTCAACACTGGGATAATCGACGCTGGAGCAATGTGATGTTTTCAGATGAGTCAAGGTTCACTGTTGATTTTTTGGACAGACGTAGGAGGGTGTGGCGTCGTCAAAACGAGCGCTTCCAAGACGTTAACGTCATCAGACATGATCGATTTGGGGGTGGTTCTGTTATGGTGTGGGGAGGCATCACTGTTGCTGGAAGAACGGCTTTACATGTTGTTGCAGGGCGTGTTACAGGCCAGTACTACCGGGACAACATCTTGGCAGTCCATGTTGTGCCGTTCGCACGACGTCATGGCCGCCGTTTCATCTTCCAGGATGACAACGCAAGATGTCACAGGACCAGGATCGTTACAGGTTACCTCCAACAACAGAACATCACCACATTACCTTGGCCAGCACTGAGTCCCGACCTCTCCCCCATCGAGCATGTCTGGGACATGCTTGGACAGAGGTTAAGTCAACGTCAACAACGTCCTGACAATGTCCAAGAACTTGCTGCTGCGTTGCAACAGGAATGGGACAATCTGGACCAAAATGACCTTAGACGTCTCATTAGGAGTATGCCACGTCGGATCAATGCTTGTTTGGCAAACAGAGGAGGATTTACCCGTTACTGACTTGGTTGTGATGCTGTGGTAACTTTGCTGTTTGACCCCGGGTATCATTTTACCCTTATAATGGTCAGTCTGTGCCTTACTTAGTCTAACGATCATTTGGAATAAATACATGAATGTGAACTTCATTTCATTTTGTCATTTGTTTCTTCGTCAGTTTCATTAGCTGACTTTAATAACACTTAAAAATCAAATATATCCCCTACTTTTTTTGAATAGTATATTAAATATATGGTCTTTAATTGTGTATCTACTGATCCATACAAGCAAGCCAACAGCGGGGTATATGTTCCCCCCCCCCCCCCGCTTCCATCCTCACATTCACTGTAAATTATGCTCCTTAACCAAAACCAAACACAGGTCTAGTATGATGTTTAGTATATATGGTCTTTAATTGTGTATCTACCGATCAATATCAGCAAGCCAACAACGGGGTATATTGTTCCCCCCGCTTCCTTCCCAACATTAACAGTAACCATACCTAACCCAATCCACGCACAGGTGTAGTATTCTACCCCAAAATCACAACTATATTCATTACCACAACCCACTCAAAAAGCCACAACAAAGCCATCTTCAATAGAAGGCTTGATCTCGCCTTAACTACGTACATCTTATCAAGCCCTTCACGTAATACCCCGCATATTTTAGCACTAATTTTGATTGGGTATAAGCCCAGCTTGTGATCCTATCAGATTCCTTCGTTAAAAATATCGTTACGATTATCAAGTCTCGCGCTTCTAGCTAAAATCTGTACATGTGACAATCGAGTTGCAAAGTTCAAGGCTCGATCAATGTCAAGGTTGCAGGAAATCGTGGTTGATCAACAAAGGCTGTAAACTTGTCTATTTCATTTTCTATGGAGGCCGCCATATTTGTTTACAGTGTGTTATGTGCCACGACTTCTGATTGGACAATGCTAATTAGTCAGTGTAAACACAACGAGCGCAAAAATTCGGGAATTGTTGAGTTCTGAAGTAACGGCTAGATGTTGTAAAACTCGCGGTCGTTGCTTCAGGAACACGCAACAAAGCATACAAATAACGTGTCTTCTTAGGGTATCGAAGTCATTGTCAATGTGGTTAAAACACCTATCCTATTTCGTTTCGTTTCTATAGTTCAAAATTTCGTTTTACTTGTCTTTACTACACTTGGATCTGGAAGAGTTGTTATTCAACTCGTGTTCTGAATGGTGTCAGGGATAAGCCAATGAAACGGTCTGTGACGGCGAGCTTTAGGCGTGTTTTTCACTGAACTGTGGGTAATCAACTAATAACATCAATGCTGATTGTTTAATCAAATGTCTGACATAGGGTCATAAGTCGATCTTTTGACCCCTGACGTGACCTATCGCTATAACTTGTCAGATCTTCATGTAGTGTAGGCCATGTAGTATAAAAAACGAAACGAAATATAGATCTGTATTTTAATCAGATGGAGTCATTGCCTAAAACTGGTCGATTGGGGTTTAAATGAAGTCATAAACTTGAACTTGGTACTGTAGTACAATCTAGAATATTCTAGAATAAACAATATGGAAGATCAAACACCTCTTTGTTCAGTGTTTTTAAGTTAGGTTCCCTTGGTCATCATTAACCAAGTAATGTTGTGTATATGTATATAGTGTCTTGTTATATTCTCATATTTTATTATTGCTTGATAATGACTAGAGAAGCCTAGTCGAAACGTCACTCAGTAATAAGCAGTAATTGTATTCAATAGAATTGTGAATGGTATTATGTTATATTTTATTATTGCTTGATAATGACCAGAGAAGCCTAGTCGAAACGTCACTCAGTAATAAGCAGCAGTTGTATTCAATAGAATTGTGAATTGTATAATGCTTATATATCGCTCCTTAGCCTAAGCAGAAATTTCTGATCATTGTACTTAGTCAAGGTATTGATAAAAATAATCTATACTTGGAGTTTCCTCGTTCTCAACCAATTAGAACCAAAGTCATCATGTTCCAAAGTCTCAAACAATCGAATTGCATTTCCTTGCGTAGCCTTCGTGGAAAATATGCATGATCTAACTCTCTTATCAAGGCATACGCCTAATAGACACCTACACCAAGTTTAAACAGTCTGCCTCAATAAGAAGGGGGGTTATGGCGTTCCAAAGTCTCGACCAATCAGACACGAAGTTTCCCCACTATCACTCCATTGGAATCAAAGTTGTTGAACTCCAAAAGAAAATGAAATGGGATTTAACGT